AAAAAAAAAAAAGAACCAGGCCCTTGGCTCTACTTGCCAGTACTGCAAAAACAAAAACTACCAAAAAATCCTTAAAAAAAAGCATGAAACCCAAAATACACAAACCATCCATCCCTAAAGCCCGACAGATTCTCGGGTGCCTTAAAATCCCCCGTGCTGGTTTGTCCTCATCCAGGCTGTGTGGCTTTGCGGGGGTGGGGGGGGGGTGTAACCACCTCTCTAAAGCTCTTCCCTCTGGCCAATGGGGAGAGGAACATATCTGACTTCCCAGGGTTCTGGGAAGACCCAGGACGTTTATTTACCCAGTGCCCATTTACTGGACTCTGGCTCCCTGAGGTACCACATGCTGTCCTCGACTCTGGAGACGTAATGGGGTATAAGACTAAGTCCTCATCCGGAGAGGGATTGGGCCAGCTGACAATGACAGGAAATACTGTTTATTCTGGGTGTGGTGACTCAGGCCTATAATCCCAGCACCTGGGAGGCTGAGGCAGGAGGACCACCACAAGTCTAAGGTCAACCTGGGCTATAGCGAAAGGTCCTGTCTCAAACAGAGCAAAGCAAAACAACATGACAACAACAACATAACAAGGGCGAAGGAGCCAGCAAGGAAAGGAGCCCAGGCTGAGGGAGCGGCAGGTGCAAAGGCCCTGGGGTGGGATGTGCCAGGCCTCTGAGAGGAGCACAAAGAGGCAGAGGAGTACAGAGGAAAACAGGAAGGGGCACTAGGGGGCTCCCAGGCTGCACCAAGCCCTGTACGGGGGCTGAGGCCGCGGCCATACCAGGGAATCTGGAGCTCTTTGCCACCCAGCCGACCACCTTGGGTGCCGCATGCTAGACTCACCACCTCCAGTTGGCATTCACTTCTGAGCCTCCTGGGGGGCAGATCTACGCGAGGAGGCAGAGGGGGAGCAGAGGGGGCCGCCTGGGGGAGAAAGATGGGGGCTGGGTGAGCTGCCACGTTCCTCTTGATCACTCTGGTTTCTGCCTGGACAAAGGGGACAGCCAGAGAAAGCCCCTCCCAGCTACCTGGGCGGGAAAATGTCCAGGCTTTGGCACATCTGACCCGTGCCCCGGCCTCCTCCCTCAGATCTGGGCATTGGTGCCCTGGTGGCCCTTCCTACCGGCTCCGGCTCCAGCTCCACGCTGTCCTGGTAGCTGCTGTCCTCTGTGTCCAGGGCATGGGCTCCGCCTTCCACCTTCCCTCCCGTGAACCCACAGATGCTCACGGCCTTGCAGCCCTTGATCGCGCGGCGGCAGAAGGGGCAGGTGTGACTGTCCCTGTGCTGGGCGGCAGGGAGGGAGGAGGTCGGCATTGTCCCCCTTCCACCATGTTCTCAGATTCTGGGGATGTGGTGTCCACCACAGGTACGCGCGGAACGAGGGGGTGGCATAGACACGTGGGGGGGAGGTGGGGGTAGGGGTGGACAAGGCTCACCTGCCCCAGAGCCTCCCACGACAGCCTTGTTCTCCAGGGGAGGAGGCCGCGGCTCAGAAAAGCACAGCCCCCAACTCTAGGTCACCCAGCGAGGGAAGAAGGGCACCCTGTCTCCGCCAATGTGGCCAGAGGGAAACAGAGGCACAGACAGGCCCTGGGCCTGGTGGCCCCCAGCAGGGCTCTGCTCTCTGTACCTTGGTTTCACCAATCAACCCATAAGAAGAGGCCCAGGAGGGAGACCTGGTGGGGGCTTTTACTGTGGAGGGGTATGTGGGGCGAGGAGGCAGCACAGGGGCCCACCTGCCAGGCAGCCAGGCAGCGGCTACAGAGCAGGTGTCCGCAGGGCTCAATCCTTACGTCCTTGTCTCTCTCGGCGCAGATCTTGCACAACTCGAATGTGGAGTCCATGGCCCAGTACAGCTGCAGCTGCTCCTGGCAGTGAGTGGGCAGCAAGGACGAGAGACAGTAGGGGTGGGAGGTTGGCAGCACAGGAAGCTGCCCAGCCCCGAGCCCTGACACCTGTCCCACTCCAGGGCCACCGGTGGGTCCCCACTGCCTGCTAGGAGACCTCCTCCTGGGTAGTCTATCTTGAGGTTGCCAGGTTTTGCAAATAAAAATGCAAGATGCCCTATTAAATTTGAGTGTTGAGGGCCAGTGAGATAGCTCAGTCCTCTAAAGCCCTGCTTAGGCAAACAGGCAAATGCAGAGGGACTGTGGTTCGATCCCCAGCACCACACGTTGCACTGAGCCGGCCACACACACACACACATGCACACACAAACTGGATTTCAAGCTGGGGGAGGTGGTGTACACCTGTAATCCCTGTATTCTGGGAGGCTGAGGCAGATTGCAAGTCTGCAATTTAGCAGAAATCTGTGTTTTTCTTTTTTCGTTCTTTCTTTTCTTTTTTCTCTCTTTTTGTTTTTTTGAGACAGGGGCTCACTATGCAGTTCAGGCTGGTCTTGAACTCTTAAGGATCCTCCTGATCCTCCTGCCTCAGCTTCCCGAATGCTGGGATTACAGGTCCATGCCACCACGCCCGGCTAGGAGTCTGTCTTCAAAAAAAGATTTTTAAAAGGGCTGGGGCTGTAGCTCTGTGTGCAGATCTTGGATTCCATCCCTTGTAAGTATAAAAAACCATTTCCAATAAGCAGCGAACAGAATCTCTCCCTGGCAGACGCTCAAGTGCACTCGCTGCTCTGTGGCTCTCAGCAGCACCACTTCCTCCGCCAGGCCCCACGATAACCCCGGCGAGGGAGGCAGGAAGAGCTGCAGTTTCCAGAGGATGAACTGGGCCTCAGAGAGGCCAAGGCATTGACCCGGGTCACATAGCCACAGGGACAGCTGATGGCACTCCACCCCGTGGGCCAAGACAGGGTAGCTTTTTTTTTTTCTTTTTGAGATAGTGTCTTGCTACATAGTTCAGGCTGACTTTGAACTCATTACTTAGCCCAGGATGGCCTCAAACTTTCAGCAATCCTCCTGCCTCAGCCTCCCCAAGTGCTGGGATCACAGGCACGCACCACCATGTGGGACTTCTGGGTCTCACCTCTGACACATGGATGCGCTGCTGGGGTTCGGCCTGGCAGAGCTTGGTCAGGTCAGGGTTGCGGTTCTTCCCATCTGGGTAGAGGAAGCTGGGGAAGGAGTCACAGGCTAAAGGGCAGCACAGTTCCTTTTGTCCCAGAACGAGGGGAACAAGGGCCGAGGACTGGTGCCAAGCTCTGGGAGACACAGCTCCCCTTTCCAGCTTTAGCTCGGCCTGTTCAGGGCAGGTGTCCCCAAGTCACCCAGGGCAAGGTGGTGTCCCCAGACCCTCCCAAGGTGGCCCCACAAAGCCTCAGAGACTCTAGCTTTTGAGGCAAGGGGCAGACTATAGACAGGAAACAGAACCAGGCTGAGGTGACCCTTCCAGGATCCCATTTCTGTTTGTTTGTTTGTTTCTTTTTTTTTTTTTTTGGCGGAACCAGGGATTGAACTCAGGCCCTTGCGCTTGCTAGGGAAGCGCTTATTCCACTGAGCCATCTCCCCAGCCCCCTGTTTATTTGTTTCTTTCTTTCATGGTACTAAAAATGGAACCCAGGGTCTTTGCACTGAGATATATCCCTGGCCCTTAATTTACTTTTTTTTTGGGGGGTGGGTGGGTGGGCTGGGAATCAAACTCAGGTCTTGTGCTTGCCTGTCAGGCCCTGTGCCACTGAGCTAAATCCCTGGCCCTTCAACCCCCTCCTCCAGGCAGGGTCTCACTATGTTCTTCAGCCTGGCCTTGACCTCACTACATAACCCAGGCCGGCCTTGAACGTGACTACCTTCCTGCCTCAGCCTCCTCAGTGCTGGGATCACAGGTGCATGCCACCATGCTGGGCTAGGATTCCACTTTTCTCCTTTAGGCCTGGCCATGACAGAGTCACGCAATCCAGCAACAACTGAGGCCTTGAATGTTAGGCTCTCAGCACAGAAAGATCTCCTGAGACCACTTCTTGCCCTGTGGGGCAAAGGTGACTGCTGTAGAACAGCACAAGGCGCCTGGCTGGGGCCCCACAGTGACCATCACGTGCTGGGTGACCAAAGCTGCCCTCAGTTTTCCCTTCTGTAAAATGAACACAATCATGCCCAGGGCAAAGACTGGTAGTAAAGGGCAAATAAGACAAACTTTAGTTGGGCCTGGTGGCCTACACCTGTAACCCCAGCACTCTGAGAAGCTGAAACAGGAAGATCCCAAGCTCGAGCCCAGCCTGGGGTACACAGCCAAGCCTACCCTAAAATAAAAGGACCTGGGGATGCTGCTCAGTGGTGGAGCACCCCCTGAGTTCAATCTCTGGTACCACAAAGAAACCAAACCAACAAAAAGTAGGAAAAGTGACCAAAAGCATAATGATAGAAGAAAGGGAACAAATGGATACAGGGTTGGGCTGAGGTGGGGATCTGAGACAGAGCCTCACTATGGAGCCCAGGCTGGCCTGCTACTTGAAGCGATTCTCCTGCCTCAGCTTCCCGAATGCTGGATTACAGGTGTGCCAAGGGTCTCACTGCTGGAAATGTGCCCCACTCTGCACATGCGCATGAGATAGCACAAAAGCCCTATGCACAGACTTGAGGGTCTCAGAGCCAGCTAGTGAGCGGGTAGAATCGAGAACGCCGAGCCACGAGCGATGGTCTAGTGTGGACACACGGGCGAGTGCTATCATGTATCCCCAGTAGACAGCTGAAGAAGCAGGCACAGAGAGGCTGCTGCTACTATTTTAAACGCCTTCCGAGAATAGTGCTGAGCGGGGCGTAGTGACTCATCCCTATACTCCCAGCACTTGGGAGGCTGAGACGGGAGGATTGAAAGTTCTAGGCTAGGCTGTACAGTGAGTTGAAGACCAGACTGAACTACTACAACGTGAGATCCTGCTTCAAAACCAAAACAGGACATAATTACAGTGAATGAGAGGCCACGACATCTATTGGCCAGTCCGTTCGTCCATCCTCCATCCGTCCATCTATGATGTAGTGACCTATCCAGCTCTCCAATCTATCCCTAGCGGCCCATTTCACAGCTTTGTCAATAACCAAGGCGCAGCCCCGCTCTGGCCCTCGACTGCCACCTGCTGGACGTGCTCGGCGTCGCAGGGGTTGGCGTCCTCTGTGATTTCACCAGATTGATTCTGCTGCCGCCCTCTTTGGGCTGGGCTGGGCTGGGCTGGGCTGGGGACTCACTTGCCGTCCTTCTGTCCTTCCAGGAGCGTCTGGAACAGGGGTCTGTTGGGAGGGATGATCTGCAAGATGCTGCCGTCCGAGCTCACGTAGCCGATGGCCCACTGCCCCAGGCGGGTGCAACTGGGCCGGAAGATGTAGCTGGAGGAGATAAGGTGAGGTGGGAGGAGGGCGGTCTGGGTTAGAGAGGCTAGGTTTGAGACAGGCCCTCAAGGGAGTCCTTGCAGTGAGATTGTAGCTGGTGGCGGATCGCAGCAGAGCCAGCCCTGCAGGCTAACTAGAGACCTACGGCTGCTTTTCCCTGGCCCCTGGGCCCAGGTGGCCAGGTGCTGGGCAGACAGACTGGGTGGCTACTTCCGGAGCTCACCTAATCGCCTTGGTGTCTCTTACCTTACAGGTTAGAGATACACTGAGGCAAGGGTGTTTGCCAAGTGCTGCCTCCACTGTGGTCCTTATCTCCGCCCAGACCAACAGCCGCTGAACAACAGCTGGGTAATCCCATAGGGCGATGGCACTGTGACCCCACTGTACCCACCTTGCGACCTTGCTGAATAAATCACAGCTGACCAAGAGCACTGGCAGCCACACTCAGACCCCGCTCCCACAACCCAGGAGCTATTTTCCTTCTTCCCAATAGAACTCTGCTACCTGCCTCCTTTGGTTGTCCCCCTCATTCTTCTAAGTTGTGAGACCAGGAACTTGGCCCACAAGACATCCACTGGCTCTGGAGTTATCTTCCCTGTCATGCCCCTGGGCGTTCCCACGTGGGGTGCAGAGGTCCACGCGCTAACCCTCAGCTTCCCGTCCTTCATGCAAAGAGCTGCTAGACCCTGTCGGCCACGTCAGGGGGTCTCTGCTGTTTGTACCTGCCTGGTTTTTACGACATCAGCACCCCTGTTTTTACATAGGACTCCACCTCAGGATCCATCAGGTGTAGACAAAGCTGACCCTGGCATGGCCAATTGGGGCATTTCAGGGCCCTTGACCATGGAAGGCCCCTAACCAGGTTGCCTTTATTCTACAGTGAACTCTAAGCGGCAGTTTCTAGAAGCCATTTGCCACCATGAGGATAATGAGGATAGGCCATCCCTAGAAACAAAGCTAGCACAGGAAACAGAATGGGTATGGGTACAAGTGGGTTCCTGACAGTAAGACTGGGACACCTGGATCCTGCTGTGCCTATAACCCACCCTATGGGCTTTTTTTTTTTTTTTTTTTTTTTTTTTTTTTTTTTTTTTTTTTTTTTTGAGACAGGGTCTCACTATGCAGTTCAGGCTGGCCTTGAGCTCACTTTGTAGCCCAGGCTGGTCTGGAACTCACAAGGACCCTCCTGCTTCAGCCTTTCGAGTGCTGGGGTCCAGCATTGGGCCGCTCCAGGATCCAGGGGTGCACCACCATGCCCAGCTTGGGTTTTTCAATTACACAAATTAATTCATTCCTTTTTCTTTTTCTCCACCTGGTGTGAAGTGTAAGCAGAAGCACTGGGCCAGAGCTAATCCACTTGCCTTCTAGGCGCTTGTACTTCCTGGGCTCCTAGACTCATGGCCTTGCCCGCCTAGTCTGTCTGTCTGTCTGTCTGTCTGTCTGTCTGTCTGTCTGTCTGTCTATCTCGGTCTCTCTCTGTGTGTGTGTGTCTGTCTGTCTCTCTCTCTCTCTGTCTCTCTGTCTCTAGCCCCTTACTCTCTTAACTTGTTCATGTTCTATGTAGCCCAGCTCTTTAGCTCTGAGCCTGTGGGTGGGGGGACTCCAACAGTTCAGAACTCCTGGTGTGAAATAATTTAAGGACTTAGGGGTCCTGTTTTGCCAGTCACCTATGCCAGCCAGTGTTTGGGGTCACATCCAAGATACTTCACATGGCTCAACACAGACTCTGACCAACAGAAATGGACCTTACCCTAGGGCAGGATATTCAGGGCCCTGCCCAGGCCAGGGATTGTTCTTCACATGCTGGACTGTGGAGCAGCCTGAGAGCTAAGGAGAGGGCCCTGGGTGTTCTGCTTGAAGTTTTCCACTCTCTGGGGTCCCAGGAGCCTCAGCCCTCAAGTCTCGGAGGCTCTCTGTGCCTCCCCACATTGGCCCAGCCCAGACCCCTGGGGCGCCCCTGCCCAGGCTGCCATAGTTACCTGCCTGGCTTGTCTCTGCAGGCCTGCAGGCGTGCCTGTACCTCATCATACGTCAGGAAGGCCATGTAGCCTGGGTGGCTGAGGGCTAGGAGCTGCCAGTTCTTGAGCAGCGTCATCCACGGCTGGGGGTGAGGTCGGTGGCAGGGAGGGACCAAGAGGAAGTACATGTTGCTAGCGCCTCCCAGAGCCAAGAATCCAGCCAATTGCTCACAGCTCTCATGGGCCCAGCAACATCTACACAGAAGTCCCAGACACTTCCCCAGGCCGGGCCTCCTCCCTTAGACTGAGGGGGTCCAGGCCCAGCTCCCCCCTCAGAACCAGAGTTCCAGGCCCAGCCTCCTCTCTTGGAACCAGAGATCCAGGCCCAGCCTCCTCTCTTGGAACCAGAGGTCTAGCCCCAGCCCCTCCCTCAGAACCAGAGGTCCAGGCCCAGCCTCCTCTCTCGGAACCAGAGGCCCAGACCCAGCTCTTCCCTTGGAACCAGAGGTCTAGGCCCAGCTTCCTCTCTCAGAACCAGAGGTCCAGGCCCAGCTCCCCCCTCAGAACCAGAGGTCCGGCCCAGCCTCCTCTTTCAGAACCAGAGGTCCAGGCCCAGCTCCCCCCTCAGAACCAGAGGTCCAGGCCCAGCCTCCTCTCTTGGAACCAGAGGTCCAGGCCCAGCTCCTCCTGTAGTTCTGGGCATGGTGTGCCTAGCCTCCTCTCCCTGACCTGGAAGAGCCTGGTGAAGATGTCAAACTCAAAAATGGACACGTGGCCACTGCAGGTGAGGTCGATGGTGGAGCACAGGGCCTGGGTAGTGGCACCAGGTTCCACAGGGTGGCAGGTGTTCAGCAGTGACTGGAACTCTGCCCAGGGTAGCATACAGCTGCAGGGTTGGTTAGGGAGAGCAGGCTGAGCTCAGGATGGCTTTCTGGGGTCCCCAGCACCCCTGGTACCCTAGGTCTGGGTGGGGCGGGCCACTCACCGGGTACCACAGCGCTCCCTCCAGAAGGTGTGGGCCTCAGCCTTGGTGAGCTGGTATCTGTCCCCGCAGTACTTGCCCCCGGGGAAGAGGGCACCCAGCTCCGCATGCATGTGGCTGAAGATGAGGGCCAGCTTGGCCAGCTGCCGCCTGCAGGGGTGAGGTCTGAGCACCACGCTGGGTAGTGGGGCTCCCAATGACGCCCCCCTCCCCTCCAGGGTTCCTACAGGGACAGGGTCCTGCAGACTCTAATACGTCAGCGCCATATTTGAGTGCATCCTGAGATAGTCTCAGTGCTGAGGCTCCGTCTCCAGACCTCAGTTTCCTCATCTGTGAGGTGGAGAAGCAGCCAGGACCCAATCAGCCTCCAGCTGGTGGAGCCACTTTGTGACCTGGCTCGTCACACAGATGGCTCCCACTGGTGGGGGTGTGCAGCTCAGCCTCTGGGGTTCCTGAGCACCAGGCAGGGACAGAAGTGGACCTCACTGGTGCTTCGCAGCACAGCCATTCTTGGCAAATGCCTCTTCTTTCTTTTTAAGACAGTGTCTCACTACGCAGTTCAGGCTGGCCTTGAACTCATTTTGTAGCCCAGGCTGGTCTCACTCCCAATGATCCTCCTGCCTCAGCCTCCCGAGCGCTGGGATTACAGGTGAGTGCCACCAGGTCCAGCTGCCTTTTCTTTCTTTGTCCTAAGTCTGTTTCCTTAACTGTGAGATGGCAATAGGACGGGAAGGGCCGCCCCTGCCTCCTGGGGGCCAATGGGGATTCTGATGTCTCCTTAGTAGTGGGCATCATAGCACCTTGGGTGGAGCGTGCGTCAATTTTAGCATGGGCATAGGGGCCAGGAAGATGGCTCAGTGGAATAAGCGCTTCCCTGGCAAGTGCAAGGGCCTGAGTTCAATCCCCAGTTCCGAAAAAAAAAAAAAAAATTAGCAATGGTATGGAGGTGCACGCCTCCATAGGCTGAGGAAGGAGGATCACCATAAGTTCAAGGCCAGCCTGGACTCAGGGTGAGACCCTGTCTCAAAAAAAAAAAAATTTTTTTTTTAAAAATGTGATTATTTTATGAGTAACTGCATGGCCAGTCCACATTGAGAGGTACTGCAAATGAGAAATATAGCTGGGTGACATGGTAAGTTCGAGGCCAGCCTGGGCATCTTCAGTGAGACTCTGTTTCAAAAAAAAAAAGGACTATGGATATGGTTCCATGGCAAACTGCTTGCTGGCAGGCACAGGGCTCTGGGTTCAAGCCCCAGAACTGAGAGAAAGAAACAATAAAAAAAGTGAAATGCATACTATATTCCAAACACTTAGCACAAAAGAATACAAGTTGAAATAATATTTTGGGTCTAGTAAGTTAAAGAAAATGTTATTATAATTCATTTCGCCCATTTTTGTTTTTGTTTTTGTTTTTGAGGAACCGGGGATTGAACTCAGGCCCTTGTGCTTGCCACGCAAGCACTTATTCTACTGAGCCATCTCCCCGGCCTTTTACCCATTTAAAAAAAAATTTTTTTTTGGTTATATTCCTACTAGAAAATTCTAACTACCTACATGGCTGGGATACAGCCAGGCTGGGACCTATGTGGATGTGTTCGAGGACCCCCGTGACTCTAGCTGAGCCTCCGCACTCGACCCCTCCCCTTCCTGCTCTCTAGCACCTCTGCATCTGTGAGATGGCAGTCTGTGGGGCTTTACCACCTTTCACAGGGGCTTCCAGCTAGGGAGATAGCTCAGAAGAATAGGTCCTGAGTTCAATCCCCGGTACTGGAAAACAAACAAACAAACCCTAGAAATAGGAGCTTCTAGAAATTCATCTGACATCATGATTACCATGGAGATGGTGTGTGTGTGTGTGTGTGTGTGTGTGTGTGTGTGTGTGTATGGCCAGCTCAGCCCACCAGGGGTCGCGGCTGGCTGGCATGTGGTGCTGGGGGATCGAACCACGGTCCTTGTGCTTTCCCAAGCCTGTTCCAAGTAGGTGCTTTAGACCACTGAGCCATCTCGCCAGCCCCTGCACAAGCATTTTTGAACACTTAAATCGATACTGTTTTTGCCGTGCAGGGTGGCATATGTCTGTCATCCCAGTACTTGGGAGGCTGAGGCAGGAGGATCGCAAGGGTGAGCCCAGCCTGAACAATTTAGCAAGACCTTGTGTCTAAGTTGCAAAAAAGGGTGGGGGAGCCAGGGAGATGGCTCAGTAGAATAAGCGCTTCCCTGGCAAGCACAAGGGTCTGAGTTCAATCCCCAGTTCCATAAAAAAAAGAAAGAAAGAAAGAAAGAAAGAAAGAAAGAAAGAAAAGAAAAAAGAAAAACACTCCTTTGATCATTGCCTTGTAATATAATTTGGGCATTATAGTGATTTAAAAGTATAGGCAGACAGCTTGCGAAAGCTATGAGCTTTGCTTTAGGATGAACTGAGGAGATAACACAGGGGCCGTTTGCTCAGAGTGGCAGGGAGTTCATGGACTCCAGACCTCCTTTGCCTGTCCCTGGGGTTTAGGGCAGCAGAAAAGGCAGAGAAATCCGAGGTCCTGGGCCAGCTGCTGCCCAGGAAGGGAAGCCCAGGAGGCAGGTAGCTGGAGCAGAGACCGCAGCTGGAGGGCTTCGGATGAACTGCGCGCCCACCGCCCGGGGAGGCGCAGCCAAGGCTAGTGGGCCCCAGGAAAGGGGAGAGAGGGGAAGGTCTGGGTGACCAAGGATGGAAACAGAACGGGTGGCTCGGTTCTCCTGGGCTGAGGGCTCCCGCGGGAGCCTCCACTGGCCCTTGGCTCTGGGGCGAGGCCATCACTCACCTGAGCCTGGCTCCCTCCCGGAAGAGCTCGTCACTGGCCCCCTGTCGGCCTCGGGCTGGCAGGAGCGCGGCCACCTGCCTGGCCTTGGCCTCCAGGTTGGCCAGGTACACCTCGAGGAAGTCCCAGGCGCCCCCGGGACCCTCGGGGCCGCCCCTGCCGGCGGCGTCGTAGCGGACTCTGGCCACCTTCCGCAGAAGCTGCGCCATGCCGGGCAGCAGGTCCCGCAGCGAGGGCGGCCCCATGGCCAGCCGGGGGTCCCCGCACTGCTCCTCCAGGCGCTGCAGCAGCCTCACCGCCCGGCTGAGCGCGCGCTGCTCGCCCCACTGCCAGCCTCGCAGGGCCGCCATGGTCCTGGGCGCCCGGGCGCGGACGCAGCGACGGGAAGGGCGCGGCGCGGGGGCGGGGCGGGCCCAGGTGCGGGGACCCTGGCGAGGGGCGGGGACCGGCGTCCAGGCGGCCCAGAGGCCGGTCGTGCAGTGCAGGCGGTGACCGTGAGGCCGGGCATTGTCGGGGGAACGGAGGGGAGTCCTCAGATTTTTGGTGGGTGGAGGCAGAGAGGGCAGGGAGTGGTTGTGGGGCGCAGCAGCCTTTAACCGTGGTACAGCATTAAAGGTCACAGAGCTGAGGATCGGTCAAAGGGCGAATACCATCCTTCTGACCTCTACAAGGGAGGCCACTGTGGGAAATCAAGCTGGAGGTTGGATACACCGAGAGCAACAGTTTGTAGAGCTGCCTGGATGGGGCGGCGTACCCCTGCAGCCACAGCTACTGGAGAGGCTGAGGCGGGAGGATGAAAGTTTCAGACCACCCTCGGCAATTTAGCAGCACCTTGTCTCAAAATAAAAAGGGCTGGGGATGCAGCTCAGGGACAGAGCTTGTGCACGAGGGTTTAACGGCTAGGCCAGCAGAGAAGAATACACAGCGCTGGGTGGGCACGGTTTTCACCCTAACCTGGGAAACCTGCAGTAACAGTCCCATTCGGCTGATGGCAGGGCAGCCACCGGAGGGCGCTCTGGGCCCAGCTGCATCTCTATCCCCCCCCCAATACAAGCCACGCCCTGGCACGAATGCCACGCCCCAAGGTCACCCCCCCCATACCTCAGAAGAGCATGCCAAATTTTGATGGCAAACCTTACAGAGTTTCAAACTGTTGAATAGTAGGCATAGTTCATACCAGGGGTGGTGGTGCATGACGGTAATCCCAGCACATGAGAGGCTGAGGCAGGAAGATCTCTGGGAGTTCGACTGCATAGTAAGTTCAAGGTTTTAGACTGTCTCAAAAAAAACCAAAAGAAACAAAAACAAGCCAGGCATGTTGGCACAGTACTCAGGAGGCTGAGGCAGGAGGATGGCTGAGAGTTCGAGACCAGCCTGAGCTACAAACTCAGCCTGAATTGTATAGTGAGACTCTGTCTCAAAAAGAAAAAAAAAATCAATACAGTAGCGAATATTTGTTGATAACATTGCCCCCTATAACCATTTGCTCACTGATTTCTCAAAACACCTTTGAGGTGGGAGGGCAGGGGGCTTAGCCCAAGAGAGGAACAGCCTGCCACTTGCAAGCCTCACCCTCAATTCTAGCACCCAGGAATCTTGAGCTCGTGGAGTCCTCCAGGATCTTTCCATTTGGGTGATAGGACTGCCTCAGTCTCAGTATCTTCTGCTGGGGAATGGAAAGAAAACCCAGCAGCTGGGCAAGAGTTGAAAATTGTAACATGCCAAGTGCTGGAGACCATAAATAGGCTAGCTGTGCCGGAGAGCTTGGCAGCCTCTGCCAGCCCTTTGGCCAGGTTCACGGCCAGCTGCCGCCTTCACAGGGCATTAAAATGAGGATAGACGCAGCTCTCACCGCACCGCCCACACCCCAGCTCCGTGCGTGCATTTGAATATCTTTTGTTTCATTCCTTTCATTCATGGGAAACTCATGCTCGCAAGCCACTAAATTGATTTCATAACCCACTAATGGATCCTGGTTCACAAGTTGAAAAATACTGCTCTAAGAAACTCCAGCAGACGTGTTCAGCGATATTAACTGCAGTCTTGTCGGAAGTGGAGAAAAGTGGGGAAAATGTTAAATGTAGCCCAGAGAGGAGATGAGTAATTTGTGGTGTGGGACTCTCACTGGCATCCCACACAGGGCTTGAGATGAATGAATTGGAGGTGAACACTGGTAGCATGACACCTATGACGGAAGAAGTCATGCCCTGGTGACAGCGCCTGCCACCTCCCACCCATGTGCTGGGAACCTATGAAGAAATCGATTTTCAGGCCAATGAGAGAGCTTCCCAGACTAAGCGCCTGCTTTGGCAAGTGCGGGGACCAGGGTTCGATCCCCAGTCCCACATGCCCTGCCGGCCCCACCCCTGCGGCACAGTGAACCAGTGACAGAATCCGGTCGTGCTGGTGTATGCCTGTAATCCCAGTGCTTGGGAGGCTAAAAACAGGAGGGTCACTACAAGTCATCGGAGCTGTGGAGTGAGACCCTGTACCAAATACATAAAGTGAAAAAAAAGGAGAGAGAGAGAGAGAGA